TGGCCCATACAATGTGGGTAATTCTTTGCCACTCATTACTTCTTTAAAAAACATTAAATTCTTAACCTGATTTAGCAGGTAAATAGTTTAAGCAACTACATCACCATTAGTATCACTTTTATATTCAAAATGCATTTAATTTAAAAAAAAGGCACCGTAATACAAAATTCCACATTGTCAGTCGTAACCTGGATTCCTGATACACGCAACAAACACTAGCTTTTCCCCCTCTACTTACGAATCTCACTTGTTTTTAAGCGTATGGCACTTGTGCTCATAACCAATTAGATTGTGAATTTTTTCAGCAGAGGTCAAGTCTTAACAGATAAACTCTTGGTATTCATGACAACTCTGTCTGAGACCCTTGTAAAACACGCCATGAAGACATAACTTCACTTATACAAGTTAAGTGAAGTAAAAGTTAACTGACCCCTTTGGACTATCTAATGAGATATAGCGGAGATGCAATAAAAAGTGTGACAAAGCCAAGCTGGGATGCACACCTGAATGGTCAATTGACTAAGTCCCATGCTCCCATGGACCTGGCTCAGGGTATGAGCTTCGTATCTGTGCATCAGCTGAAATACAGCTAGATCACTGGACTTTCAGGGTTGAAACTATGATTAGTAAATCTATGAGTGCTAACGTTTGGATTCACATCTTTGCTTTTCCTGGATAGTCAAACTTTTTGTTTCAGGACTCCTTTTTACCCTTAAAAATTACTGAGAAGCCTAAAGATTTTGGTTTATTTGGGTTATGCTTATCCCTATTCACCATTTAGAAACTGAAACAGGAATTTTTTAAATTTTAAAATTAAAATAATATTAATTTAAAAAAATTATTGTATTCTCCAAAACAACATATAATTTTGTGAGAAGAGTGACACTGTTTTACATTTTTACATTTTGGCAAGTCTCTTTAATGGCTGGCTTCATACAAGATGGCTGTATTTTTACATCTGCTTCTGTATTTTTTTTTTTCTAACAAAAGTTCTCACATATTTATTACTGAGCCAACCTACTATGGCAGAAGCAGAGTAACAGAGAAAAATAATTTCCCTGATAAAACATGCGTATTCTTCAGGTAGTAGTGATGTTTACAGAGTAATAGGATAGGAACACCTGCCTTCATGCAGCAGAAATATGTGTGCCATCTCATGTGTGATCCCATAGAGACAAAGCTTGGTTCTTCTCCAATGCTTCCTCCTGGAGTTGTACCTGATTTTACCAATTTTCATCCAAATCCACTAGGGAATGGGATGGTTCTGCTTTTGTTTCTTGGCCAGGAATCGCTTGATCCTGAAAGTCTTGTGAGAAGACATGGTGAAGAATAGTCAACCGCACATACAATGATGGCGGAGAATAGAAGCCACATCTGCTTCTGTATTAAATTTGCATTAAATCTTTTGTGTTGTTTTGGTTGAAGTGCATTGAATAGAATCTGGTCTCACACAGATATATAGTGAAGAAAAGGTGGGATATTTTAATAGCCTTTTCAGAAAATTGTGGATATTCTTCTTCTTTTTTTAAAAAAAGATTTTATTTTGAAGTAACCATACTCAATGTGGGGCTCGAACTTATAACCCCAAGATCAAGAGTCACATCCTCTGCTGACTGAGCCAGCCAGGCACCCATGTGGATAGTCTTCAACACTAATACCAAAACTCAACAAGCAGTAGTTTAAGTTTCTAAGAAATGTTAATTTTGGAAAAGTGCCCATTGACACATCTTACCCTATAGTATTAAATATGATTGCCTACAGAAAAATTCAGTCCTGGGGATAGTTCAGAATAATTGTGACTTTCTGTTGGATAAAGAAAGTAGGAAAATATTTGCTTATAGACATGTCTATATAGATAGACAGAAATCTTGTTATTTAATAAAGAAATCTATGAATTTTGCAAATATCACTCTGCTCCATGGAAAGTGGTTCAGAGTGGGGAAGGAGTGGGAACAGAGACATTGCACAGGAGGCTGTTGAGGTGATCCAGAGAAGACACAATAATGACACCAATCCATGATCTAATTCAGAGCATGAATCAATGGGAATTGGTGATTATTCGGAGCTAAGGAGTAAGAAGAGTAAGATACCGATAGATGTCAGGACAATATTCTGGATTAAATTTGAACAACTGTATGGACATGTTGTCATTTACTGAGAGGGGGAGACTAGGGAGGTAGATGGAGGTTTGAGCATGTTGCTTTTTTGAGAGCCCCTGAGGCATCCCAGTGGATATGTCCAAGTGTGGAACGTAGAAATGAGGTCAGGGTGGAACCGCTGTGCTAAGTGCCCTTGGGTGTTGACATTGATCTGGTCTTTTCTATTTTTCAACTAGCTTCCACCAAATGGAATTTTTTTTAATACTCACAACCACCATGTGAAACAGAGAGTGAGCCTGACCAATTTTACAGTTCGATGAAACACTCTCAGCGATAAAAAGGAATGTTACACTCAGCAATAGGAATCTCATATGCATTATGAGGAGTGAAGGAAGCCAGAGTCAAAGGTTAGTTATTATATCATTCCATTCCAATGACTGCCTGGAAAAGGCAAAACTACAGAGATGAGCAGATCAGTGGTTGCCAAGGGTTCAGGTTTGGGAGAGGATAAAGGTTATGATAAGTCGTTCTCTATCCTGATTGTGGTGGTAGCTACCAAGCCCTATGGATCTGTCAAGACTCACAGAATCATACAAGTAAAAAGTGGATTTAAGTGTGTGCATATTTTTGAGTGTTTACGAAAAGAATTTTAAGCGAGGGAGTGTGTTTTAGAATGATCACTCTGGCTCCAGGGCCAAGAATGGATGAGACGCATCAAACACCAGAGGCCTAAGACCTTCTTTGGGAGATGAATTAATCCAGTCAGATAGGACTACAGATCAAACCAGCATGGTAAGCATGGTAGTTACTTAAGGTTAGTTGCAATGTAGAATCTGAAACTGTATCAATGAATCTTTCGTATCTTGCTACATTAAAATCCACCTTTCCACCTAGCACTTTGAATGGATCATTTCCCCATGAATGATTTTGGTTACATCATGTATTAGTCATTTGGAAAATATTGGCTCATTGAGTTATGCAAATTTTCTAAATGTTCACACATTTTATTATACAATATAAAAAATCACTTTAGCTAATATCACCATTGATCTCGTCAGGAAAGTCTTCAGAGACTGGGAAAGCTCTCAAGCTCACTGCTGCAGATCAGATTCCAGTTTTCCAAAACTCGAATTTTCCTTTGAAAGCTCAAGTTTCATTGGTAACAATTACTGTCGATCGTTTTTCTTGGACTGATAAGCCCACTTCATTCTTTTTCAAGAAATGTTTGCCAACTCTTTGCCAACTTCACTATGAATAACCATCTATTAGTTTATCAGTTGTTCTTTCAAGTGAAAATGGTGTTCCGTGCAAAAAAGCAGCTGGTGCAGCAAGCAACTCGGCCATTTGCGTGCCTCATTATGACAACCATCGGCCCCTCAGTACCCGCAGAAGTGCGTTATGTGTCCTCAACATGTGTCACCCAGGATATTAAAAAGCTATGTCATCAAAGGTTGAGATTTAATAAAATTAATAAAATGTGCAGCTTCATCAAGACAATCCTTATGTGAGGCTGGCTTTCTCCCCGTTACCGTAAGCACAGAGGTTGGTGAGCGCGCACGGGGGTTGGCGAGCGCGCACGGGGGTTGGCGAGCGCGCACGGGGGTGGCGAGCGCGGTGACGGTCAGCGCGGTTTGGAATGACCGCCTTGATTGTGCTCAGCTGGCAGCAATATTCCCACCATCGCTACAGATCTCAACCGGGTGAAAAAGGGAAATAACCTTTCGGTATTAGTAGGAAAACAGTCTTGACCTTGTGGACTCCCTGAAAGGGTCTCAGGGACCCTCAGGGCTTGCACAAGTTCACACTCTGAGAACTGCTCCCTGGGGCTCCTGGCACGGTGCCTTGTGCACGGTAGTTATTTCAATATCTGGTTGCTGAATACATGTTTGACTGAAACTTGAGTTTAGAAAGTCTTCTTTGACTCAGCCACCAACTGGGCTTTTTTGCACCAAGTTAATGGAACAGATATCTAAATTAAAATAATGCTGAAAACAGCACCTCAAAGCCCAGTATTTAACTGTTAACAGCTGCTCCAAACTTAACTTTAATGACAGAATTGGCTTCTTTTTCAGCAGATCCCTGAACGGACAAGGCCTGGTGTCTCAAAATTCTGGGAGTGAATCTGCCAGGCCACAGGGCACGACCTGCTGACAGGCCAGAAACCACTTGGCTTGGCCAGGGCTATGACTCTGTGGTTAGACTGATTTAGAATTAGTTATACTGGGAGCAGCAAGATAATCCTGTTTTTCTCCTTGTTGTGCGCCATGTGGAACTTATCTAAGTGCCTAGTTCCCATATATTTGTCAAGGACGTAAGGAGTTCAGAGGTCAACCACCACCGTGCTACTCGCCTACATAAAAACCGTTTAGCTCGATTCTTCCCTGAGGTATGTAACAAAACATCCTTCTGAGACCTCTAGGGGACAAACTCCCTTCCTCTGTTTCCTTCCTGGAGTCACTTATGAACTTACTTTAATGGGGGTCTTGTAAATACTAGCAACTAAAATCATGGGAGAATATGTAGCCATAGCTCACTGTTGACCTTGATCATGACTCTTCCCATGTTTAGCCACATCCTCAAAGATAGCTTAAGTAGCTAGAGTATACAACTTTGTTCAAAAGTTAAACAGGCCACTGAGGATGACTGGGGAGATAGTTTTCCTTTCCTTCCTTAGGCTTCCATAGAAGCTCCATGTAAGAAGCATCTGCTGTTGGACAGAATTCCAAGATGGTATTTTACTGATTATGTCTGTTTTTCTCAAATAAGAAAATATGGAGTCTATAGCACGAGTGTGTGGAATTAGGTCAAAAGGAAGTCTAATTGTAAATGAGAGAGGTGTTGTTGATATAAAAAGAAGAAAAGGCAAAGCCTTTTAAAGTGTGATATGTAATGATATCTTACCATTTTCCACTGGGACTCATTTACTTCTTTGTATTGCAGTTCATACTCCAGGACTATCCATCCCTTCTGAACATCTGCATTGGGTGGTGGTTCCCATCTCACTTGGATATCGGCATGAATGCCCGTTAAACTGATGTTCAGTAAAGTCCAGTTGAGGCCGATGGGTGGATCTGGTTGCACTGTGCATTTTGACAGAGAGTTAGTGCACAGACAGACAGGAACAGCTTGATTTAATGGAGTGTTGTTTTTTTTTTCTGAAGAGACCAATTACTTTATGCATTTTTATTATTCATACCCTGAATTCTTCCAATATTCTTATTATACTCTCACTGTATAAGAGTATCATTTTTTTTGACTTGAGTATGATCTGTTTTTAACTTTGAAGAAAACCCCTACAAAAAATTCCTTTTCAAGTTTAAAATCTGATCTAAAATTTTTCTTGAGGATCTGCCATGTCTTACATTTCTTTTAGCCCTGATAGGATTAATGCTTTGGGATTTTGGCAACGGAATTCATTGTAACTCGAAACTGAAGAACAGAGTCACAAAGACCTAGAGTATTTAAACATGTGGCTGTTTTGGAACTAGGGATAGAGAAATCTTTTTTATTCCAAATTGTTTATTACCTAGGGCAAGGATCTTGTCTTATTAATTTCTGTATTGCTATTAGAACAATTCTTCCAAACCCTCAGCTAATGCTCCTTAGCTTGTTGTCTTCCTAGCCACATGTGATGATTTTTTCAGACATAAGAAGGAAGGCATTGCACTCTTCTCTCAAATGGTGATGAGTCAGGGTTTTCTGTCTCTTACTTAACCACATATGAACAATCTGAAATAGTGTTTTGCTTGGTTTCTATTGACATACTGTACATTCTCTGGTAAGTCAGCTGTATTCTGCTTATCAGAACTGCAAAGACTACAATTTCCCAAAGACCGATGAAGAGAAATACAGATTCCCAAGCTAGGAACTATACCTAAATTTACATTCTAGATAGTTCCCGATAAATTATTCCTCTTTGGGTCTCAGTACTGAGGTTTTCAAAAGTCACTTGTAAATACAGAGTAAGATTTACTTTCTTTTCTACTGTTTGTAGAAGGTCACCTAGAGTGTTGCACAGTCTGGATCCCTGGGTTGGCCAGAGAATTGCCTACAGATATAAGTGTGAGGAGCTCTAACTGGCTGTTAAAATCTGGTGGCCAAAAGGGGAAGCTCTTTCATTCAACCAGAGTGAAAACAGACCTTACTGTGAAGGAGCATGATATTGACTCCTGTAGAGTGGACACAACTTTAAAAAAACAGGGAATCCAAATATGACTAGTAATGACCACATTTTGGAAATTAAATTGGAGGGATCTGCAAAATAGCTGAGTTGCATATGGCTACAATCAGGACAGTAATGCTTCGCCCTTCTGGATTTGTTGGGGACTGAGGAATTCTGATAACTGAAGTTTAACCCTCGAAGAGACCAAAATATTAAAAATGTTTTTGGTCGAAAAATTTCAACTTATTACTCATGTTTCATCTTAAAAACTCCCCTTTCTACTTTAAATAGAAGATATGGAACATGGTCCTTTCTGAGAGGGCTCATACCACTGTTATAAGCATCATAACAAGCTCCCCCTTCCCTCTGTACATCCTGCCACGTGCTGTATTCCACAGTTCCTCTGAGATGTTGCAAAAGCACTTGAGCCCGAGTACATCCCCAGGCAGCCCCTGGTCCCCTGCCTGGAATGTGGTCCTCTGTCACTTTCCCTCTCTCTGCTAATGGTGGCTCCATTCCTCCAGGTGCTCAAGATGAAATGAGTGAGCTCTTCCTTGACACATCTTTTTCTCACCACCCCCACATTCTGTCAGCTGTACTTTCAAGATGGTCCCAGATTCTTTTTTTTTTTTTAAAGATTTTATTTATTTATTGGACAGAGAGAGACACAGCGAGAGAGGGAACACAAGCAGGGGAAGGGGGAGAGGGAGAAGCAGGCTTCC